ATATCAGAGTTACTGCTAATGGTAAACAATTAGTTCCATTTCGTTTCGTTCTTTATTGACTTTTTAAGAAAATATGTTTATAATTTTTATTATATCTAAATATTATAATATAATAATTATATAATATAATTATTATTATATAATTACGTATTATTAAAAGTTTTCATGTACAGCTATTGTACGTATGTGCATTTTATAATATAAGTGTATAATATAAATATGTAACTATAATAATAATACTCTTGAAAATCAAATGTGAAATTAGAGCATTTTTGAGAGTGAAAACGCTGTAATTCTACCGTAAACACTATGACTTCTTTATTATAAAATATAATATCAAATAAATCGTACGTTTCGACTCTTTTTTGAGTCTTCTTCAGCTTGTATTTCGGAGAAAGTGATTACAAAAAATATCCATTGTTCTACTCATTTCGCTGAAGAAGACTAAAAAAAGAGTCGAAACGATACAATTTATTTGATATTATATTTTATAATAAAGAAGCCATAGTGCTTACGCTAGAATTACAGCTTTCTTACTCCCAAATGCCCTAATTTCACATATATAAATATATATTTGTATATATTTGTTATTATACATAATAAAATATTAAACATATAATGTCTGTGCTTTTGCTCGTAAAAACCTTTACTTATTTTTATCACAAAACGATCCTGAATCGAGAATAATGTAAGATTCCTAATATTATACAAAATCTTTTTGTAAAAATGAAATATAATAAGATTTCTTTCAAATCGGTCTTTTGGATGAAGTTAAGAATATTATAAGATTGTGTGTGTGCTGCAAATTGTAATCTAAATCTTTCCGAGAAAATTTATAGGATAGAATAAAGGTCGTTTTATTCTAGAGTTAAGAATTTTTCATTTGCGACTAAAATATTCTTTTCTCAACGATAAATGTGATTGTCGCTATGTCGATCTTATTTTATGATAGATCGAGGAATAATAGCATTGAATCCAGAAATCTTTTCTGTGAGTGTATGGGTAACAAAATCACTGCAGTTATTAGATCTCTTGATCTAATAAACGAGTATAGAGTAAAGTCGCCTATTATGGGATAGGTTCCTAATATGAGATAGCGGGGTTTCTGCTAAACTAACAAGCGCATGTGTTTGATACTATCATAAACTTTTTACTCTTAGCGTGAAACCTGTTTAGTAGAAAATTCATTATTAAATCATGCGTCGTTGCAAAAAAAGATTTATGAAATTGAATGTTGTCAAATTTTATTGAGATTAATCCTTAAAGCTTGTTTTATTATACAAAAATAAATATTAGGTAATAAAATTTGCATGCAGTGATAGAGTAAGATCGTATTCATAGGAATACACGTGATATAATGATTTGTTTAATTGTAAAGATTAGATTTGGTGATTATGAAGCCGCAAGGCATGAAAATCGTAATATGAGATATTCCTATACTCAGATATTCCTAGCTAATATGAGAGTATCTAAACAATTCAATGTCTCAAAGTATACTATCGAACGAAATGTTAAAAATGACGATTCTATTGCTAAGATTACTCACACACACATACACACATATTCACATAACCACACATCGAAAAATTATATAATTACTATGTATAACATTTAAATTCTTTGTTCCTACTTGTATGTAATATAATAAAAGCGTATATAAAAAGCTTATCTTTATTTTTTCCTTAGTTTCCGGTTATGAGATACTCCACCTCATACAAGAAAACCCTTATATTTCATATTAGAAATCCTTTTCTTGAATAATCAAAATCTGCAGTTTGATAAAAAATTTCACATACAACAAAGTATAGCTATTATCGACTTCTAACTTTTGATGATAAAATTTAAATATATTTCCCATAAATTTGACGTGAAATTAGAAATTTAGGTTATAAATTAAATAAATTACAAGCCTTTAAAAAAAGGTATCTCATAATAGGCGACTTTACCCTACTTACAAATCAAACTGGAAAATTGAACGATAAAATAAGATATACACGTCGGTGTAAACTTAACATACGTTAAAGAATTATTAAAAATAAGCATGAATGATATTCTGGCTATACATCGCGTGCTTTGTTGTAGGCACGCTGTAGAAGGCCTCGTGAAGGACCTTGTAGAGGATCTCGTCGGCGAGGATGAGGATAATCTACGACTCAGCAAACGTCAGCAGCTAGACGATTATGGTCACATGAGATTCGGCAAGCGGTTCAACGGGGACGACGAGGAATATGCGTATTTGCGATTTGGCAGAAATATCGAGTAAAACACTATCATGTCGGGTTTCTTTACATCGTAAATAGTGATCGTTCACACTCGTGTGCTAGATGTAGATAGAATATATTTTACATTGCAGCTATTACAATCGTGTCACGTTATTCTACCTTCTCCAGTTTCTTAACCTTTGATCTTCATACCGCGAATTTAATCTACGCTTTTCAAAAATACGCTGGCAATTTCATTATCTCGAATTTATAATTTTATAACTCTATTATATTTTCTTAGAATATTACAACACAATGACGCTTTTATTAATTGTGATAAAATTTTATAAACTGTCTCAGAAAAAATTAGATAGACATTACTTAAAAAACCACAAATTTTTACTGATTCAACTTCTCTTGTGTATTAAAATATACTGGAACTGATATATGATGAAGTGCAAAAATAAAATCAACTCTTACTCGCTAAAAAATGTTCTGTTAGTTATTATGTATTTTATTAAAATGAATAAAGGAATAATCATTACATTTATTCTGCATATTATTCTCATTATCCCTAATTTATTCAAGATATTCTAGCTTAGATTTTTTTAACACTTTAAATAATTTTGTAATAAATAATTTTTTTTTTCATTTTAGTGCTTGCATAAATCTATTTCAAGTCAAAAGTTTTATATATTTTTGTATGAAATTTTTTAATCATTAATAGATTTTTGTTGGTGTTTACTATTTGTTAAAATTTCATATAATTGCCTTCTTTGTATTTTCAATTCTGCTATTCTTTGATGGAGATCCATATTATCATCTAAAAATGTGTGGTATCCGCAACGATTTTCCAAATCCTGAAGATTATAGCCAATAGTACGACGATTTAATAACCATGGCTCAGGTAGTGGTGGTGATGGTGATGGTTTTGGTTTCAGAGGATAAGGCGACCGATAATCATTGCTCATAGTGGTGTGATAATTCATCTGACAACCGACCATGGGATCGAAAAAAATGTCTGTCAATTTTAATATTTTTTCCTCGTAATCCTTCCTTTAAAAAATATTGAATTATAAGTACGTATTAAAACTTGATGAAAGAAATTAGTTGTGTTAGCTAAAAATTAGTTAAAAAAAAATATAATTATTCTTAATTCTTTTAAAATAAATATATTTTGTATTACATTAAAAATTCTTTATTAATTTTTAAATTTTTATAACTTATAATTGTATAATAATAATCTTACAATTAATATTAGTAATATTAAATTACATTGAATAAAGTAATATTAAATTACATTGAATAGTAAATTATAATTTATATTAAATTATATTACAGAATAACATTATAATGAGAAAGAATTTTTGCAATCTTTTACTTTTCATATCAAAAAGATAAAAAACAATAAAAAATTTTAGATTAATTGTCCTTAATTTCAAAAATGAAAGTTTTATTGTGTGTGTGTGTGTGTGTGTGTGTGTGTGTGTGTGTGTGTGTGTGTGTGTGTGAAATAAAA